TGATTCTCTTATTCGTATTACTCTACTTGCCCTAAATGTTGTCATTAAAAGAGATGAAATGGGTGATCCCTTCTTCTCCCCAACACCTCTTTAAAAAAACCTAATCGCATAAGCCACTCCTTTAAAAGAAAAAAAGAAGTAGTAATTGGATTTAGGTCAATTGCATCTAAAATCATTATGCATGTGGTGGGGGGGCACTGGGGTTGGGGAGGGGAGGAGTTTGAGAGTAGACTGGCACCGATTTTCATAAAGGGCCATCTCCTCCCTCCACCTCTGCCAATGTGAATATGAAAATAGTAGCCACACCTGAACGCCAAGAAAATGGGAGGGGGGAGGCAGACGAGATTAAGCCTTGCTCTTCCGTGTTTTATTGACTTAGCTCTTGCCCCCGCGGCAACCCCCCCTGGGAAAAAGAAAACCATTGCATTTTGATGGAATTTCATGGAAGGAAGTGGACCCCCAAAATAACTCCTGCAAACCACCCCCCCGCCCCATCTGTCCCTATGTGTGATGGCACGTTTCCTGAACACGTTTCCCTCCCCCCATCAGCCCCCACCCCCTTTTGTTGCTGTTCTTTCCTTGGGCGGCAGGGTGAACGTGCAAACAGGAGGTGGGGGGGGGGGAGAGGGAAGTTGTTACCTTCCCGCTTCTTTAAAATGCACACACACTTTTCTTACAAGCATAACAATAGGAAAAAAGCAGGTCCCCCCTACACCTTTATTAACAAGCCAGCAGAATCGACTTCACTGTCCAAGGCTCTCATCCAGGTACGCTTCCTTACTTACTTAGGGGGTGAGCCCCACTGAGCTCTATAAGGATGTACTTCCGAGTAACAGTAGGAAAAACCCCACGCAGAGGAGGAGACGACAAGGCTGCCAAAGCTGCACAAAGCCCCACTGAACTCGGTGGAGAATTTGGCTTCCGAGTCATAAAGGGGGCACTGGATCAAGTTGGAGACTAACCCTTCCCAAATGCCTGGAGAGAGGCACTCACTCCATAAATATAATATAGATTTAATGCTTCTCCAGAAGAAAACTGAATGCACGCTTTGGCCGTGGAAATATTAGATTTCGGCTTTTTAAAAGGAAGGCGACGACTCACCAGGATCAAAGTCAGGGACGACTGCTTGATATTGGGGTCCCACTCTCATGCCTCCTCCACCTGGTTCAAATAAATTTTGAAAAAGGGTTATTTTCAAAATTGAGTCCATTTAAAGAAAAAAGTCTGCATAAGCTTTGAGAAAGAGTTGTGGCTGTTTGCGAGGCTTGTTTGCTTGTTTAAAGCTCCCCCACTTCCCCGCGAGACTCACCATGTTCTTCATCGCTGGAGGACCCAGAGCTGCCTTCTTCCCAGGAGTTGTTGCTGCTGCTATTCCCATTGGGCGCTGCTGCCGCTGCCAAACTTTTATTATTTCCATTGTTAGCGCTGTTGGCACCGGCCGAGGCAGCAGCGCTGTTAGAAGCGCTCGTCGCGCTGCTGGCATTGCTGTTTCTGCCCCTGCGCTTCCCGGAGACCTCCGGGCCCTTCTCTATCATGGCTGGCATGGGGGGGGGGGGGAAAGAGGGGGGGGGGGGGGAGAAAAAGAGACCAGCGGAGGAAGTGGGGGGGGGGGGGGGAGGGGAGAGAATCAGAAAGAAAGCTTCTTTTTTTTTTTTTTTTTTTGCAAAAAGGAACAAGAGGAGGAAAGGAAGGACGCAGCGCCTAGGAAGTTAGCTGCAACTGTAGGCTTCCAGCAGCCCCTGCGTTATTGCAGATTTTTGGGCTGTTAATTTCCTTTCCTCCTCCTCCTCCTCCTCCTCCTCCTCTTTTTAAATTCCCTGCAATGTGAACAAGCCTCGAACTTTGAGGCTCATCCCTTTCCCTGCACTTCTTTCCTGGACTGGGGCTAGCTCTGTCAACCTGAGCTGCTAGGCTCCTCTCGAGCCTGCCCCCTGCACCTCTCATTGGCCGTCCGCACATTTTGGGAACATTTCGCCCTTTTCCATTGGTACGCCTCACCCGTCCGTCAAGGCCGGCCCGGCGCTTCCGTTTGTTAAGGTTAGGTGGAGAGGCGTATCGTCTTCTCTACGTAGTTGGAGCTTTGCAATCTCTACGCCCAATGATACTGCTTGTTCCAAGGCTACATTGTATCTTTACCGAGGGAAAAGAGAAAAAGAAAAAAAGAGTGGGGGGGGGAGTTTGGCAGCTGCCTTAAAGAAGGGCTCTGGCCCCAGCCAGAGAGGGGGCCAGGGTGCAAACAAGGCTCATTTTGTGGCCGCCGCAAGGAGCTGCAATCAAATTATTTTCTCTAGCACCTTCCCACTCACTTCCCCCATCAGCTATAAGGGTGAAGAGTAGCTTGGAACTATTTTCCCCCTCCTCCTCCTTGGCGGAAGGTTACTCGTCACACGCTGAACAGTTTGAATGGAATCTCCATACAAAGAAAGTCCAATAATACTACGAAGTAACTCCAGGCTGTTTTGACCCGCGTTTTCACTCGGGGGCGTGGAAGCCTGTTATTTTGTTGTCTCCCCGTTTCTTCCAAATGGTCAAACCTCCCCGTGCAAAGTGAAACGATATGTGTTTCTTTCCGAGAAAAGAGCGGCGGCAGGGATGGGGGGGCGGGTGGAGGAAGGAAGGCGCTGGAGGTAGGAAAAGTCATCGGAATTTCTGGAGTTGTTGAGCAAATCGGTTCTGTCGCGTGGCGCAGAGTCGAGGGAGAAAGAGTGCAAACCAAAACCTGCCACCTTTAGCCCCGAAGATAACTTTTCCTGCCTGTTTTCGCAAGCAGGGAGCGGTTAGGGGGAAAGGAAGCGGGATTCCTAACGCAACTAAGCAACGTTAACTGAAGGAAGAGAAGGTGGGAAGGGAAGCCCTTGGAGAAGATGTGAAAAGTCTCCTTGAAACATGCACACACCAAAAGCTTCCTCCCAACCACCCACGAGCATGGGTGCTCGTTGGAAACCGCAACTAGGGCACGACACGCACATGAAGGCCAATGCCATATTTTTCAGGCTATGTGAACATTACCTCCAAAGTGATCGAGGCTTCTCGCCCCCTCGCTCCCCGCCATCAGCAAGGGAAGAGGAGGCGGCGGCTCTGGGAGGGAACTTGCCAATATCTAACAAAGCCCCCCCCCCCCCCAAGAGAAAACTAAAAGACAGGCCTGACCAGTTTGCAGAATTTAAAGTTGCAGGGTTCTTCTCTGAACATGCAGTTTCTGCCATTGTTTTGCTCAGAGCCTTTACCGGAGGGGGCAGGAATAGCGAAGACCAAATATCCTAGAACATTTTTTCTCATAAACAAGTGTGCTCACACAGTCCATATTTCCTAGCGCTATGCAAACACAAAAACTTTACATTTTACTTTTCTCTTCAGTGCAAAAATAAATCGGGTAGACTTTGAATCATAATAAAGAAAGGGAGTATTTTAGGCCATGAAACTGTTTTCCTCCTGAGATCTCCTTAATCTCACCATTCATAGAATTTTTCAAAGGGTCCAGACAGTGTCATCTTGCACTTGTAATGCATCCTTCCCGTGTTTTCAGACTGCTTTGCCTATCTTTCCCCCCACAAAAATAAGTGGAAAAGATGGAATAGATGCACAGTATTCCAATTGTTAGTGCAAAGAGCTCAAGGTTTGGATGGAACCTCAGTGTTTGTTGCAAAGGTCATTTTGTCTAGAAGCCATATATGCCTCCACCTTTTTAGTTTATGTGGGTGGTTAATGCAGGGAAGAGCTTTTGGTGGTGGCATTCTGATTTTGGATCACTAGCCTAGGCATGTATGCCTGAACCCTGCCTGGCCACCAAGCTGTATTCTGTTCTCCAGTAGCTCTTAAGGAGGTCTGAGACTTGTTCCATAGAATCATAGTAAGAGTTGGAAGGCACCAATAAGGCCATTGGGTTGAATTCCCTGCTCAAGAGAAGACTCCAAGTTAAAGCAATTTGAGTAACCTTTTCAATGTTGTCAATGTATTAATTGATTTCTAACTGGTTGATTTTAGTGTTTTATCCTGTGTCTTATTGATTTTAATTGTTGCCACCTTTATTTTTATTGGCCTAATTTTAATGACCTACTTTGGATATAGTAACAACATTAAGTGTAGGGCATTGCTGAATAACAGGTTGTTGTTGAATCATGGATTATCATTACATGTGAACCCTTGCACTATGGTTTAACTATGGATTGTTAACTAAAAACTACTCATTCATTGACATGTGTTACATGAATCTCAATCCAGATCATTGTATACTGTCTTGAGGGCCCTTGAAGGCAGCATAGAAATCTCAAATAATGAAATGAGTACATCCTGGAGCCACTTCAACAACTAACTCCTGTGCACAATTTACACAATTTCCATCAACTTCAGCAGAGCTCACTCCCAACTATATGTACTCAACACCATTAGTTGCTAATTCTCAATGGTGGCAAGCAATTTTCAATCTTCATGGAATCTTTCAAGATGTTCTCCATCCTGCTTCCATCAACAACCACATAGGTCTGAGCTCAAGTATCCTGTTCCAGTGAATTATTGCTAGAAGATGCCACTTTTTATTATATAATAGTGTTAAAGAGCTGCACTAGGACTAAAAAGAGAGTTACTCAGCCATATTCAGTTAGATATGACATTCATTGGGTACCCTTAGCCCAGTCAATGGCTGGTTTCAGACAACATGACAATCTCGACTCAAGGGCTAAATGTGGGTTGTAACTGAGATGTGGATTATTGGGTTGTCTGAATCCAGCAGCAATAACAAACCATGGTTTGTTACCCACAGAAAATTCACAGTTCATAATCCATCAACAAGCCATGGGTTGTTTATGATTAATATGCCATGGTTTATTAGTGTGGTTGCATTCAGACTGCAAGATAAGGTGTAACCTTTTAAGGTGTAATCCCATACACTTTTACACAAAGAAAAGTTCTACATGGCTGGCTGGGGCATACTGGGAGTTTTCTCCATTTAAACATGCCTGGGATACTGGTCTTAAGGGCAGAAAGTCTCCCAAAAGAGCCCACTGAAGACTGAGCATGATCAGCTGGCACGGAATGCTGACCAATAGTTAGAAGAAAACACACAACGATGTGGTGGGGGGGGGGAGTGGAGGATGGAATGAAGTATCTAGAAAGTGGGCATGGTTGACTGGCATCCTGTACATGAAAAGTTCACACTGCAACACTGTCTGCAAATAGCTAGATCTGTAGCATATACGTGAGCATGGTATTTGATAGCTATGTATGAATGATATGAACCTTACTACTTTGACTGGCAACAGCCCTCTACAGTCTCAGGAGACCTTCTGCATGTAAAGCATGTTTTCTACCAGAGGGCCAGGAGAGAATAAAGCAACTACCCTAACCTAAACCCTGTGCTGTTTATTTTTGTTTTGCTGTGCTTTGCTTTTTCCTGCTGCAGTCTTCCTACAAATCCTGCACTCTGCTATATCCTGTTCCCACTCGGTGTAAGAAACACGTCATGAAGAGCTTCACTTGGTTTGTCAAAATGCTGAGAAATGAATTGATCTGGCAACTCTTGTGTTCCACTTTGTGTTTCCAGACACTTTGTGTTTCCATTGTGCTCAGAAGGCAACTGCCTTACTAGAGGTAAGCTGGTACTGTCCATTTCAGGAGGGAAAATACTGGTCCTTCTAGCTCAGTGACTGATAGCTACTATTTCCTGGCCCAATGTCATTCAGTCTGGAACCTTCTGCATGTAGGTGCTACCAAGCTGTGACTTTTCTCCTTAAAGCATGGGTATTGACTACCTATCTAAACACATGTGCCATGCAATTGTGCACTTAGGGTTCAATACTATACCTGGAAGCAAGCCGCAGGGAATTCTGTGTAAATATACATTGTTGTTGTTGTTAGTCGTGAAGTCGTGTCCAACCCATCGCGACCCCATGGACAACATTCCTCCAGGCCTTCCTGTCCTCCACCATCCCCCAGAGTCCACTTAAGCTCACGCCGACTGCTTCAGTGACTCCATCCAGCCACCTCATCCTCTGCCATCCCCTTCTTCTTTTGCCATCTATTGTTCCCAGCATTAGGCTCTTCTCCAGGGAGTCCTTCCTTCTCATTAGGTGGCCAAAGTATTTGAGTTTCATCTTCAGGATCTGGCCTTCTAAAGAGCAGTCAGGGTTGATCTCCTCTAGGACTGACCAGTTTGATCGCCTTGCTGTCCAAGGGATTCACAGGAGACTTCTACAGCACCACAATTCAAAGGCCTCAATTCTTCGGCACTCAGTCTTCCTTATGGTCCAACTTTCACGGTCATATATATTGTTATAAGCCGCCCCGAGGCTTTGGCGAATGGGGCGGCATAAAAATGTTTTAATAAATAAATAAATAAATAAATAAATAAATAAATTGCAACTGGGAAAACCATAGCCTTGACTATATGCACTTTTGTTGGCAGAGTGATGTCTCTGCTTTTTAGTATGCTGTAAATGTACATATCTATGCACTATAACAGCCCAATCATACACAGGCTTAAGCCCTACTCTGTTGAGTGTGGCATATACCTAGGGAAGGGTGTCCTATGCAATTTACTTAGCTATTATTCACTCTATTTCCAATTTCAAACAAT